ATTTTCAACAAATCAGATACAATATCAATTTGGGTATTTGGAACAGGAGACTGGGACACACAAATGCAGTATGAACATACCTTAAAAACCTCGGTATCGCCAACATATGAAATGCTGATAAGATATTCAAGGCCCAGCAGCAAAGTTGATATATTCTCTTGAGTGGATTCAAGGATGCGGATATGAACCTGCATAAATAGAAGACTGTCAGAATATTTTTACCAGAGAGCATAACACCCAGCAAGCAAACCAATAAGGCAGGATCTATTCTTGAATGAGCCCAAATATGATATAATCAAAAATTCAACTTAAATACACCAGCCTCAGCAAAGCAACATTCTTACAAACAGTTTAATTATGGCATTTGATGATTATGCATCACAAAATAAAATTGAAGACATGAAATTTTAAAAATCTAACCTTATAAAATGAAGTGAAGAACAGTGCCAGGTTCTGTATAAAATCCTAAACAGCGGGAAAAAAACATGGTCAGACAAATACTTCAAAATTATTTAAGCAAATTAAACATCTTGTTTCAGTAAAAACCCACTTGTTCTTCATTAGAGCCGTGTTCATATGCCTCGGGTATATTTGTTGTAGGCGGGAGTATGCTCTACATTTTACATCATCACATAGTCAGCCAAAATGCTCAATGCATAATCAAATGAATAAGCATAAGAATGCTGTGCGTATTACAAAAAGGATACCAATCAAACACACCTGCAATTGGCCTATGAATATACCATACATCTTGACATACTGTGCATCATAATAATCCCCAAATTGAAGGGATGCCACCTGGAAACACAAAAAGTGAATATTGCTATAATAAAAATTCAAGTAAAAACATCAGAACTGGAAGGATGGAACATACCTCAGACAAACATTGCAACGTTAGGTTCCGATATGCTGGAACCGGGAAAAAGTTTAGGAGTGTCTCAAGCTGAGAGACAGAAGTTAAAAGATTTCGGTTAGTTTCTTCAACAACAAATTCATTTTGAGTAGAAAAATGTACCTACCAACGGTGATTCAAATATATAACCCAAGGGAATCCATGATAAGAAGGCATGCAATGTGGACAGTGTAGCGCGTATGAGCTCAGCCCTTTGAGATGCCGATAGCACATATAAGCATAACTCGTGTATGAGTTGAAATTCACTGCAAAAAATCAATTATAATTCTTAGCAGAATATAGACACTTTGTAGAAAGTAAAGGTAGATAAATAAAAACCGCTGAACAAATAAATAGCCATCCAAAGCATGCATGATAAAGAATGTTAAATATAAAACTATTACCAAGCTTCCACCTAATTAATAGCTTAGGCTTTCAAGATAATTATAACAAGGGAAAGCAACAAGTATGTATATCAAGCCATAAACTCCAGCACATCATTATATTATACAACATCATTATATTATATACAACAATAACTAAGTCTTATCTCAAGAAATGGGATCGTCTACATGGATCAAAATATGCCATAATTTCTATCAAAACCCATATTCCTATCCAACTAGTTAATTTTGAGGTCTTTCCTAATAATTTCTTGTATAGTTTTTCTAGGTCTTCATCTATCTCTAGTTGTTCAACTACCCTCAATCTGGCAACTTAATGGTAAACTTAGCAGAATTTTGAGCAAAAATATTTCCAAATCGTAATCAAATTAGTGAGTAATTAAGTCGATAAGTAGATTCCAGTTAAAATCCTACAATCAGCACCCCCTCTAGCACCGCATCTAGTGGGGATAAATCTGCATGCATCTACGCTACAAAGACACCACTCAGTGGGAGCCTCGTGCAAGGGCCGTCATCTTTTAGTGATAAGTCCTTGATTAGAAAACAATTCTCCTTTATGTAACTTGCCTAAAAGTATTCATGTTTGAACATATTGGGAAAATCTCAAGTCCCACATTGGTTGGAGATAGAGCATCTAAAGAGTTTATGACACCCCCCACCTTACAAGCCGATTTTGTAAGAATAAGTTAGGTCAAACTCTAATATGGTATCAGAGCCAATCAATCAGACCATGGGCCGCCCACCGATTATATCCATACACCAAGCCCAAAAGAGTGCTAGGCATGAGGGGTGTATTGGGAAAATCCCAAGTCCCACATTGGTGGGAGATAGAGCATCTAACGAGTTTATATAGTGACACTCCTCACTTTACAAGCCGGTTTAGTAAGGATAATTTAGGTCAAACTCTAATATAACATAACTAAGCAATTATTGATCATCAACCAGAGTATTTGATGTCAGTTGCCCCAGTCTAACTTACAGGCAACAAAAGAACTAAGGCAATACAAATCCAAACTACAATATATTCTCCCACTTACTGGTTAAAATCAATTGCTTTGCCTAGCCACTTATATAACCAGTTATTACGACTAGCTAGTCTTTCAATCTATAGAACACATTCCAAGAATCAAAAGTGTACCCAAAAAGTTATAGAACGTACAGGTGAGGATTTTAAGAATGCAGCCTAATGAATCCATTGTTGTATAACAAGTAATTAAAACTCAATCTTTCAGACACCAACTAAAAAAGAAAGATAAGTGAAATGGAAAGCAGAAAAGAATACATAGACATTGAGCTATCAACAGCTACCTGTTCAATGACTGTTTAAGCTCTTTAATCTTTTGTTGTGTCATTTCTCCTCTCGAAAAATCAAAAACCTCTTCACTCAAAAGCTGAAAAAACATTTTTTAAGTTAGTCATTGACATTGACATTGACATAAGAAACATAATCTAATGAAAAGTGGGATAGGCTTACTTTCAATATAGCCATGCAATTCTCACAGATTGTTTCACTAGTTTTAGCTGCTGAGACAAGATCAGGAATAAAGCTTCGCCATCTTGCTGGCCACTCATGTTTCAAAATCTGCGTGTGAGACACATCCACCCACCATTACATACAGCATTTAAGCGGTGAATGCAAAAAGACACAATAATATTTGAAAACGGAGATTTTGAATCCAGAACTACAATAAAAAAGGTGAAAAAGAAACCTACAACCATAATATAAATGTGAGTCTTAAGCATTGCAGGAAAAAAAAAGACTTGATTGAGAAAAATAGAAAATAAACTCAAAGCAGGTTGAACTTATAAATGGAAAAGAAAAAGATAAGCTACATGTGCAAAATAACTGATTTAGAGACAAAGGAATAATTCAAAAAAAAATTAACATTAAAACAAACAATATTGGAGTAGAGAAAAGTACAAAACATCTTAAGATGAATAAATGTGTATATAAAAGGGAAGCATAAAAATTAACCAGTGAAAAATGGGTTTCAGGACTTAAAAAAACACATGAAATAGTAGTCAATGTTAAGAAACTGCAGTCTTTACCTGAACTAATATAATGTTGAGTTTGTTGACATACAACCTTTCCGTCCGAAATGAGGCCTCGTTGCTGGAAAGCTATGCGAGAAAAACCAACAAGAAGATCAATGATGCAGAAAAACAAAGTACTAAAAAAGAAAAATTATGTATGCCCGACTAACTCAACACAAATAACTGGTTTCGCCAAATACAAATGATACCTGTACAATGATATCAGAGATGAAATTCTTCATCCCATCTCGCTGCTCAGCAGGTAATGCATTCCATCTATATTTAATAACACCTTCTAGAACCTGAATATAACATACAAGAATAGAAAAAACATAAAGTAAGAAAGGCAGCTGATATAATATTCTCATAAGAGATGAAAAACTTGTTTAACATTTAATAAGCATTGTTTCCAAAGGCAAAGCTAGTAAGTAGGCTACAGATGTCAAAACTAAGTAATCCATTTATAACAAATATGAAAACATAAACACAGTAGTCAAATAAATATGAGTCAATGGGTCTATCAAACAAAGTGATGTGGAAGGAACATTTTTTTCATAAGCCAGCCTCTTGGCAAATGGCTACTAAATGAAGTTGCAGAAAATATAAGCTATATATTCAAGACCTCTGACAAAGCAAATTCAGCTACAGGTACTTCCACTCAAATCTCACACATAATTACAAACTGAAGCACCTCACTTTTAGTGCTTTAAAGTTTAGAGTAAGTATGCTTTCAATTAAAGTGCAGTACTAATCAACCAACCCAGCGCACAAATCTTTTATCATATAACAAATCAATAAGAACTTTTGCATTATAAAACCAAAATATTCAAGAGTCATTTCACATAGATATACAGACTATGATTGAAGCCATAATGTTTTGCAGGAAACCATAAATCAAATATCAACATTTTATTTTGAAAAATTGAGATCCACCCCTCCTAACATTAACCCCAGAGAAGATCATTAAACAAACCAACCTGCAATGCAAAGAACTTGGTATTGAGATTTTGAGTATTCTGCAAGATATGCATAACTTGAAGCCACATATCAGGATTATTTTGCAAGTCCCGCAAAATTGAATCAGCAGCACTTCTCTGCACAGTCAAAACAAACACAAAAAAATGTTAAACCTACATACAAAACCGATAAACAAAACGGCCGTAAACAGCATCACATTATCTAAAACGAAAAAAAGCTCAACGTTCATGAGAATATTAATCAATCACATGGATTATCAACCACAGTGGAATTCGCATCTTGCTCAATTCAATCGATTATGATAAATCATACAAGGACACTGACGAGACTTAATCAGTTCGAAAACAATACGAACAGTGAAAGACTGATGAGACCTAAAGTGCGCATTATCCATGGGAGTGGTCGTGACATTGTTGAAGAAAAAAGTAAACAGAGAAAATTGAAGATGGAGATGGTGACTGACCTCTTGCTTAGATCCGGTGCCATAGAAGGCGGAGACGGTAGCATCGAGCAAGGGCACATCAATAGGTTGGCTCAAATCTCTGAGCTTCTCAGCGGCCATGGCGAAGAAGAACAAGACTGAGAGTGATTAAACCCTAGAGTAACAAAAACCCTAGACGCGGAGATTTTAGAGAGAGATAGAGAGAGAGGGTTCAGGGAGAGAGAACAGTTTGGACTTTTTTTTTATCTTTTTATTGTGATGAGAAAAAAATTCTAGTATTTATTGAGTTGAAATAATAATTATTTTTGTGGAAATTAAAATAAAGGTAAAGGGCGAAAAGAAAAGACAGCTTGAATATGAAGCTAGAGGGTGAGTTTGAAAGAGGGGGGGAACGGAATGAAGGGAGCACGTAAATAGGGGTGATTTTGATTTGATTTGACGCTAAGCTATATACGGTCACTGTGTGTAAGTGAGTGAAGGGACTTAAGGAGATGGATTCGGCAACGGAATTTAACTTGTGGAGACACATTTTGGGGCCCTTTAGATCTTTATTGGAGGAGAAAACGGGTAGGAACTAGAGTTGGGTTGCTCACTTTTGGGGAATGCTTTTCTTTTTGGGTGGCTTTTTTTTAGAGAAAAAAAAATTGAAAATGTTTAGATTGAATAACTATAAACATCTAAAAAAAAATCTTTTATATGCGGTTTCTAGGCTTTAAGGCTACCAAATATTTCATTATCCCGCGTTAAAAAAATTGTGTTAAAAAGGAATAATTAGTTAGCGCGTTAAAGCGCGTAAATATTTTATAATTCCGCGTTAAGAAAGAATAATTAGTTACTGTGTTAAGGCGCTTAAATATTTCATTATTCCGCCTAACAATTCTAGTTAAATTTTGTCTATATTCACCTTTTCTTCCACTTCCAACATACTAAATAAATCTTTTGTATTTTTCATTTTGCTTGCATTTAATCGTTTTTAAGGTAAAGTTGATTGATCTTCTTTCGTATATTTGTGTCACTTTGTTTCAATGTTTGTCGTTTGTATTTTTCTCTCTCACTAAAGATCTCAGATTCCATGGCAATTAATGGTTTTTAGATATTAGAATCGAGTCGACACCGTAGTAAATCTCTTAAAAACCGCATGTATTTTTTGAAGTAATCAAGCGAGGCTTTTAAAATTTATCCTCGAGAAAATGGATAGTTCAAATGTACTTTGTTTTATTTTCTAATATGTTAGCTTCAATATATTTCATTCAGAAAATTATGCTACTCTTTTGCGCACATATGATCATGGTTTTTTTTCTACTTTATTATTATAACTCTAGTATTTCTCCATGGAACTCATCCCAAGTGTGATTGTCTTTTTTTCCTCAGTCACTTCTTTTTTGCATTTCATGTATTTAGAGGAACGAATATAACGAATTAGTTAAGTTTGACAAACTATATAATAGAGTCAAAAGCTAACAAAAACACTAATAAAGGATGAAAAATGTCACATTAACTCATCATAAATCAATCACAAGACTATGCATTATTATTATGTCATACGGGTGTCGTTCTTGTTAACAAAAGATAAGAGATTATGGGGTTTTCATTAGAATGAAAAAAGTCTATGGACTGTGTAGTGTTATGGTTGTAAAGAGTCTCGCATAGGACAGTGTCTTTAGACCACCCTAGAAGAGGAGACAGTACAATATCGTCCAAAGGGAGGTATCGTCTCGCCCTATAGCTTTCTTATCGCCCAATCATTGAAAATGCAGAATAAGATATTTCTTGGACATAGAGAAGTTAGGATCATTAAATGACTCACCTCTCTCTTGGAAATATGAATTCAACTGACCACTATTGAATGAGTGAGAGATGACCTTTTCCAAGAAATACTAAGCCATATATGCCTCTATAAATACTCTTTCCCTCAAGGGAAGAAGGACAAAGCATTACACCCTAAAGTATAACGCTTAATAAGATCATAACTCATATAATCGCACTCCACGTTTACTTATCGTCCTTTGGCCATTTAATTTTTAACTAGGTTTTAAAAATTAAATTTGTTTTTAACTATTAAAATTTTTAGTTTGAATTAAAATGGTGCAAAGATTTTATTTTTGTTTAGGTTTTTTTTTGCTTTGGTTTTTATTTTGAAACAAAGAAAAATCATCAAAAAAGTGTTTATTAAAATAAGACTTATTTTCATTTGTTTTTATTTACACTTTATTAGTTTGTTTTCAAATAAAAAAATACAAAAAATAGGGCATTTGGTTTACAATCCACGGTATCATTTATATTACATTCATTAAATTACCCACAGAGTTGGAATCAGATAGATGTTGAGTCAAATGTCATGACATCTTGGATTATTGTACATCAGGTATTGCTGTTATTTTTCTTGACATATTTGATTTGATTTTGTGAGATCCTCTTGGATATATCTCACTTATTTTTGTAGTTCAAGGAGATTTTATTAGGAATAATGCATATTTGATTTAGTTTCATTAAAAAGGATCTTTGAGACTTTTTATGAAGCTTTAAAGATTTGTTCCTATTTTTGTGTGAAGATCTTGCAGCTGATTTAAAATTAGAAGATTAGATTTGATTGAAGAGTCCAAGCTCATCATGCAAGAGTCTATAAATAAGGACTTGCTAAACCTAAAATAATAAGCATTCAAAACAAGAAATTGTGGGTGCATAAGGGTTTAGGGTTTTGAGAGTACTTTAAGTTCTTTGTTTATTTTTGTATATCACTCGTGTATCTTTTGATACATTAAGGTATATCGATTGTTCGTTGTTACTTACCCATCACTCGTGAGCTTTTAAGCAAAAGAGTTGATTGTGTGTCACGTTATTATTCTCACTCATGAGCTTTAAAATAAAGAGTTGAGTATTGTTTATTGGAAGTGTAATATTCTGTTTTGGTTCTTGTTACTGGTTTGTGATTGGTTTTATCACTGAGGTGATTGTGGGAAGTGAGAGGGGGATCTCATATCTAGAAGGTTTCTAGGTAGAAGTTGCACAAGGTAGTGATTAGGAGACAAATTGTAAATTAAGGTTGTTTAGGCTTTTAACTAATAATATCATAGTGGATTTCCTTTCTAGTTTGGTAGCCCCAAAGTAGGTGATGTTGCAATAAATTGGGTTAATAATTATCCGTGTTATTTACCTTCTGCATTTAGTAATTATTTTCTGTCAGCAGATGATATCTTAACATCTGTCTTGACATTGTGTTTTGTGTTGGGACATCAGTCTTGACATATGTATTACAAGTAAATCACCATACGCACTACAAGGAAACCAAACAAAATTCAGTTTAACATCACATAACAACATACAACCATATCATTTATCACATAATATACATCCATATCTCTAACAAACTTCAAAACGCAACTAATTCAAAATCTAATCCAAATTGAAAATTGAAAACAAAAATAACTCATTTCACCATTCAGTCACAACCACCCATAGAGAATAATCAAGGCCAATAATGTTCATAATGGAATGCCATGGTGTGATACGATGGGAGAATTGACTTGATTGTTTTGCGTTTTATCGCAAATGTTGTAGTTAGCAAGAGTTGCCACCGACTTTTCTTTTATCCAAAAGGAAAGGTGAAAAAGCACAAAAAAGACCTTTGAGATTGTTTCTTGAGGTTGGGGGGTAGATTATGAAAAGGGAAGGTATTAGCACCCTTTTCATCCATGGTTTTCCATGGGCTCTTAGTTACTTGCTATATCACTTGCTTTTGTTTGAAATTGTGCTTTGTGTGGTTTTTTAAAAGTATTTTGTAAAAGAGGTCATTGTTTAGGTAATCTTTCTAATGATTCTCGTTCGTAAGAATGTATACAAAGATGTTTGTCTTTTTGAAAATGTTTTCAATGTTTGTAATATGTTTGAAAGTGTGTAGGTGTTTGTTTTGAAAATAGCAAGGATATTTGTTTTGAAATGGAGCAAGTAACTAGGAGTAATCTACCTACTCAAATGTCTTTCTTGTTCATTTTCTTTTCCTTTGACATTGTTGTCTTACCATTGATTTGGTAAGCAACCCTATTTTTGGAGGTAAACGGGACGGACGTGGGTCATTGTATAACCATGATTATCAATGTTGCAAAGTATCTTAGCATTCTCCTTTAGGGACTAAGATCATTTGAAAGGCAACTTAGATAGCGTCATCGAGGGACTATGATCTTATATTTGCGTGTTTTTGCTAAGATACTTCACATGTGTAATATGGCCATTTTATAAGGCAACCAAGTGGAGAACCCTATGGATGCTTGTGTGCAAGTGCATTGTTTCCATGCTTGTTTATTTGTCTTGAATTAGGGTTTTCTAAGTGTTGGTTTTAGTCTTTCCATACAAATCCTAATTACTAGCATTTGTATATAAAAGTGATAAATTGTGGAATTTAAAGTTACTACGCTATTACAACATTGGTGGAGAGGGGGAGTATACAAATTTACAAATGAGGATTGCGAGAAAATTAAAGCTAATTAATTGTTACAACCATATCGAATTTGTACAAAAATTTAAACAAATAAATAACCATAATAATGTAAATAAATATGCATAGGATAATAAAAATGATTTTTGTTTGGTTTTTACATAAAGGGAATCTTGATTTGTTTTTGTCCTAATTTATTTAAGAAAATAATTTTAATTATAAACAAAATAAATTAAACCTAAACTAGTTAGAAATTATTTAGGTTTTTTTTTCCTAGAAAAAAGAATTAAATTCTAAGTTATTTTAAAGAAAATAAAAGTAGTTAAATTAAAGACCTAAATTCTAGATTAATTTAACTTATGAAAAAAGAAATAAAAAAACCTAAGTTTATCTATTATGTTTTTAAGAAAGGAATTTAACAAATAAAATTATTTTTGTCTTTTTATTTTATTTTAAGAGAATATAATATAAATTATATTTTTACCTAATATAATAATAATAAATATTTTTGGTTTTTAAATGATAAAAATAAAATAATATTAATTTTGAATAAAAAACAAAAATAAAATGAAAATGAAAATAGAAATATAAAAATAAATTAATCAGGGGGTGAAAAAACAATTTTGAGAGTTTTGTAGCAAAAACAAACAAATATGTATGGGCTGATGTGGTGTAATAATAATGCAGAGGTGTATTGGAGCAAAAATGACCAAGCCCAAGTCAGGAGGCCCAACGTGTTGGAAGTTGGCAAAAAGAAAATGTTCAGAAAATAAAAGGTAGCGCGCTGGTTCGAACCCATGCCCTCTTGGTTACCAGCGCGCTGCCTTGCCACTGGGGTAGTTGTACATCCGTTAGTCTAAATGAAAATACAAATACATAACACAAAACACTGCCTTGCCCTGTACTTCATCTTCAACCTCTAGCCAGCCGGACCCCCTGTAACTTTTTCATTTCTCAACAAAAATGGAAAGTGATAACATGAACATTATAACATTTTACTTCACAATTCTAACCATGTGCATGATTAAAACTATAAGTCCAAGATCAGAGAGAATTTTGTTGGCCCTAATTCTTAACCTAATTTTTTCAGAAACTTCAAACTTAAAATTCTCTAAACTCAAGCCAAATAAATGCAAGTTATG